ATTACTGCAGTTTCGGACCAGAGCCTTTTTCGCTTTGTCAAATTTACGACCCACCCGTGGGTCGTACTGTCCAAAATGATAGTCTTTTTGGAGGAACTTTATACATGTCTCCGAGAATTCTCCCACAAGGGTTATCGAGGGCGCTGATTACCACGATATGATTTATTTCAGTTTTTGGCAGCATACGGTAAGGTTACGGTAGTCATTCTGTAGGAGCCCAGCATGAATTTTCATGAAAAACTGTATCTTGGGGTGCTGATCACGGTTATATGTTCACTTCGTTCACTATTTCCCACGGTGGGACTACGGTAGCAGTACGGTAGAATTATCATAAGAATCAAGAAACTGATGTAAGAAGGCGGTATTAGAACTTGAGACTATTAATTTCGTAATCAGTATGCTAAAAAAATTATATATGTAAAATTTGAGCTTTCTGGAATGAACAATGCGAGAAATCAATAAAATCAATAAAATCGATGATTTCGATGTGCTGACATCAGTCTCGTGCACTCCATTATTTCTCGTGCACGTAACTTAAATTTTCAAAAACACCACCACTTTGCGAAAAACTCAACTAAAGTTTGTGCCTTACCTCTATCTACGGTATACCTACGTAACACTACTTTACAGTATCCCGATCTCAGACCGCTCTAGCTGAAGCTTCGCCAAGGTGTCCCCAATCATGTGCCAGAACCCCGTAGAATCCCATCACATACTGGCAAAGCTAAAGCTTCAGCAATCTTACGACCCACCGGTGGGTCGTTTGTCGTGATTAAGTCTCATTGATCTCGTCTGCACTGCTCTTGTTTTTGTACATGTTGTATGACATATCCCTTTTTGGTCTTCTCATTAAACACTGAAAATTAGCAAATACTCTGGATGCTCCACAAGCTGGGCAGCTACTTCTTGATTTTTCAAAGAAGATGGAGTATTGCAGCTAACTCATAACAATGATAATAATTCATTGACAAAGTGCAAATTGGAAAGACATAGTTTTCGAAATGAAATATAAATTTTATTGTAACGTAATCATTTAGTATTTACTGCTTACTTTTTTTTTGCATGCGTACTTAAACCGCTGCGTCTCTTCACAAACACTCGTACGAGCACAGGATTTAGGCCGCCCTCTCGCTAAGTTATAGTGAATTTTTGTAAAAAGGGATTTCAGGGCCAAATCCTATGTTTCTGATTCTCCTGTTCAATCGCTTTTGAATTTCCATCAAATCAAAACTGAGCACATGTAACGCTTGTCTGCGAAAACAGCAAGTAATTATTATTAATAATGCTAGATCAAAAATTTGTTAAGTTCATTATTTATATGCAGAGGCTCGTAAAATAGCTTTAAAAGACAAAATAATTAGATAAGCATCATTTTATCTAAAAATGCACGTGAGAGTAGTCGAGGAGCGATAACCTCTTGATAATTGATCAAGGTACTCGTAAGGTGTGCTTACATAGCCGATGCGTGCAAAGTTTGAGAAGCTTTTCTATGAACTCAATTTCTATTTTCTTGTTTTTGGAGTCCTATGTACGCAGTTTGGAGTGCAGTTTTAGAAGCATCATAGTCAAAAAACTCTTCCATAAGAGACGCTTCAAAAGGTTTGGCGCATACGTTTTCATTTTTTTCGCGTTTTAAAGCTCAACTTACGGTTTTCTGGCTTCTGTTATCAGCTCGCTTGTCATTTTTTACTCGCCTTTCTTAGTCAAAGATAACACCATCCGCGGGCAGATCTGGTAAGGCAATTTCCCAGAGATTTTTGCACATGAAAAGATTGATGTACCTATTCTTTACATCGGACTTTTACTCAAATCAAGTCCAAATTGTTGACTTCTCGTTGTCCAAGAATTTTTGTTAATTGTTTTTCTTACATATCGATTGTTCCTGATAACAGCTGTCCCACTGAACAAATGGAATGAAATAAACATTGACACTGATCTTTTTTTGCAATGATATATCATAAAAAGTTCGCTAATATTTTACAGCAGCCCGAAATTAACCTTCAACTTTGGGAGTGTATAGAATACATACACAGGATGCGCAAACAGAGTAAAAACTACGCATGATAAATAAATAATTTTTCTGCCTGCGTTTTTGAAAGCCCAAAAGCGAATCAGCCTGGTCCTTGTGAGAAAGAGCAGGATGGATTGTTGGATGCTAAGCGAAGGTGTTCCATTTTTCTATCCACACTATGACACACAAAAAAACGCGTTTACATTACTATTTCACGATTTTTTCAACTTTTCCAATCATCGGCCATGCGCTCCGAAATTTTGCCATCATCAATTATCATTCACTGGAAAAATGCAAATTTTATCCTATTTTTTCCAGCACATATTCAGCAATGGTTCGAGAATCTTCACTACCTACTTCATTATTAAATCGCTATGTTAGATTTGTAGACTTCTTGGACTACGTGCATTTTGGAATAGCAGATTTCGTAGGTATGTTTACTAATTTTTTTGTAGCTTATGCTTCCGTTGTGTTTTTTTTAGAAGAAACGCGGCAGCGATTTGGAAAATTACTATGTATATTGCTTACGGTTGTCGTTATCTTTGTTGCAGTTACAATAGTAATTTCAATCATCATCTGTATAGTTCTGGCAGTTCAGCATAAAAAAGAGGGTAAATGTTCTTGCAATATATGTTTCAAATTTTAACTGTTTTTGAGCGCTTCCACAGAAACTTCTGACGCAGCAACAACGCAAACGTCAGGTTAGTTTGGTTTGTAATGGTTTTAGTTATTGAAAGATCATGGTAAATTGTTGATGGGAATTTTGAGTTCCTCTTCTATGAGTTGGCATGCCTCCAAAACAGCATTAAACTCTCAAATTTCCTAATTTTGAGAGGTACAAAAACTCAACCGAATAAGTTATCTTCTCTTTGGCTCTTGAATCCATTATAATTTTAAAGACAGTGGTTTGGTAAAATTGGTGTCATCTAAATTACGTTTATACTACTGGTCATCGCCCAAGTTTGGGTGACGAGTAAAGCAAAAAGAAACCTCAGAACTTGCTCGCTCGCTTTCGTTTGTTTTACCATCATTTGGAGTTTCGTTGAAAGAAATTTAGATGCCGCAGCTTTATCGCACTTCTGGCAAGCTTGTTTTTGTCAATCTTTTATTCTATGTAACTCCAATTTTTTGGGATAATGCTTACAAAAGTGCGTTTTTACTGTTAATACACAATAAGGTATTTTTCAACAAATCTGCAAAGACGGGCTGCTCACAAGGGAGCCGCATAAAGAATCGCGGTGTTGTGTTAGAACATGTCTTAAGGAAGCTACCTTCGATTTTATTTCTTTTGAAATTCACAGAAGGCAGCAAAACCCTGCTAGTTTTACGTATTCGATTAACACCCTTTTTCTTTTCATCCGTAGCTATTTAGGAAGTTACACGACAGTTTCACCAACGCTTGCAACGACGCAGTCTTCAGGTAAATGAAAGCTAACTTTCCGATTTCAGTTCACGGAAAAAGAATTTGTCCTCAGTACAGGAAAACTCAAGATTGTTTTTGAAGCTATTAGGCCGTAACATAAGTTTTGTTACACTTGAGAAAAACGCATGTGAAGATTTGAGTGCCGTCACAAAATTGCCTATATGTTTAGTCTAACCATAACTGTAGAGGTAAAAATAATGCCAGTAAACAGCCTTTTATCCATTGCTCATATGGGTTAATATTAAACTTTGCTAAAGCTTCTAGGGTTTTTGCGAAGGAAAATGAAAAAAATGTCACAAAACTTATGTTTCGACCTTATATGTATTTGATGGTACAAATTGTAGCTGCAAAAATAGGTGCTCATCCAAAGGGTTGCCATTTTTCATCAAAACCTTTATAGGCTTACGTGATTGCTTGAATGGTTGATACTCAAAAATTAGGACCTCAACAGAAATTTGAAGAAATATCTTAACCGTCAGTGCCAGTTTCTCCTTTTAGATAAAGGAATAAGTACCTCTACTGTGAAAAGCACAACGACTACCAAGAGCAAAATAACTACGAGCAGCCCCTCAATCTCAAGGAATACTTCGACTACTAAGATAACTACGATTAGCCCAAGTTCAACTAATACTTCGACTACTAAAACAAGCACGAGAGGCAGCACAATAGCGAATACTACGATTCGTGCATCCACGTTGATTACAACGACTGTTAAGAGCCCAACCAAAGCTACAACCGAGACAACCACTATAAAACCACCAGGTTGGTGAATTCACAAGACTTAAACTTGTGTGTAATGACCACACTGATTGCTTGTAGTACTTCAGTGTGGTCTCTTATCATGGCCACGATAAACAGCATAAACTTCAAAGTTAACATCCTACGACTGATAAACTCAAGAGCGCCACGCACAAGCGTGTAGTTAACAGCTAAGAATTCCTGCTCAATTGATTGTTGGTTGATTGGGAGCATGAGTCGAACTCGTCAGGCAACTCGTCGCTCTTGAGTTTATCGCACAGCTTCTCAAATATGCAGATTCATAAACCTTGTTAGACTAGCAACAGTACACAGGGCCCTGAATTTTATTTTGAATTACGCAATATTGACTTCTTTGATTGTGAAACGTAACTCACAACTTTGTTCTTGATAGTATACAAACGATGGAACAACACCAACGACAAGACACATTGAGATCCCACATGAACGAACAAGCTCTTCTAAACATGCTCTTACCTTCCAAACCTTTTTGAAAGACAACAATAAATTTGGACAGTTTTTTCGGAATTCATCAAGATTTGTTGCTGCTGATTAGTTAGTACATAAATCTAGATGCCCTTCTGTAACCTTCAAAAACTGTAGGAAAACAAACATATCGTAAGCGATCATGAACTAACAAACCAGCAGCACATCTGCTTCCGTTGTATAACAGTTTTTTGTTCTTGATTGCTGTCGTGTAATCTCAATGGCACTGCTATGAGTATTGAAAAAAAATATTATCCTGATAGTACAATATTGTTTCAAACTGACCCATTAGCATTTTCCCGATTGCGCTAACGATAAGCATTCGTAATGCTAAGTCTTTATGCAAATGTAACAAACATGCGCGTTAATTAGCAGTGATCTTAAATAACGTAACCTCTGCCAGTATTGCCACTGCTTTTGAAAAATCATGACATTCTCTAATTTTCATAGCACACAACAAATGGCAGCAGAGACAGAATCAGACTATGATTTTTTAATTTGCGCCGTAAGAATTGAAAGCGTGTTCTTTCCTATTTCTCGCAGACATTTTCTTGGATGAAAACACACTGAGAACAAATTTGTTCTTCTATATGAAGTTTTGAATTAGATTACATTCTCGACTAAAGTCATCTTTGTCACTTTTTTCCAATGGTTTCTAACATCTAGCAGGGTAACTTCCCAATCATTATTACCAATGGCAATTGCAAATCTGCTAGCACTGTTTCATTATTAGTGGTATTTGGCAATTTGTTCTCTGCTTAATGCAAATCCCCAATCAGGTTTATTTGATATGCACTGTGCCTTCGCAGCGGACTTTGAGAACTTTGAACCTAAATCAACTGGGGACCAAGACGCGGTGAGCATTATACTACAAGCATTGAGATTTGCAAGTCAAACTTTGTCAACAAGTCTTTTCAGATGGTGACGGTCTACTAAACATTTCTAATCACAGGTGCGATAGGGTGAGAATGACTTTTCCAGGGTGAAGGGGGTCACAGTGGTCGCAGTCCTTCCAGGGTGAAAGGTGTTTCATTTGATCGAGAAATAATAAAATGCCGACCGGGGGGAGGGAAGAAGGCGATGGTGTTTTCTTATTTTCCAAATCAAAGTTTATTATTTCAAATTCTCTTTCATCACTGGTTGTCTTTTTACCAAAATGTGAAGACTGATAGGATTGGAAATAGGATTGGAACAACCCTATTTGTTTTTAAAAATACCATAGAAGATGTGTATGCGAGATCATCTGTTTCGGGAAAGAGGTAGACATTTTTAAGCATTTACGAATTTTCAAAAGAAGAAATTCGTAACTTCTGTAGACGAACAGCAACGTCAGCAATTTTTATAACCATCTTCCTCCGCTTTCAGAAAATATATAGAACGTCTGATATCCACTCAAGAAAGTGCAGTGAACGGTTTGCCTAGTGATTTTTGGGGATTTTTGATTTTTTAAAATAAAAAAACTCATAACTTCTGTAGATGAACATCTTGTACGCCGAGATGGTCATCATTGGAACCGTCTCATCGTACGCTTTTAGAAAATATATACTATGCCTAGGATCCGCTGAAAAAAGTGCCTGGGTGAAGGGTGTCCTAGTGTTTTTTGGGGATTTTTGATTTTTTAAAATAAAAAAACTCATAACTTCTGTAGATGAACATCTTGTACGCAGAGGTGGTTACTATTGGAACCGGCTCGTCCTCCGCTTTCAGAAAATATAAACTCTGCCTGGGGTTCATTAGAAAAAGTGCCGGGTGAAGGGTGGGTGAGACTTTTATAATGGGAGTGCTCAAGTAGACGTCCTTTTACAATGGTAAAAAAGCCTGTACTTGAGCACTCCCATTGTAAAAGTCTCACCCACCCTTCACCCGGCACTTTTTTTAATGAACCCCAGGCAAAGTATATATTTTCTGAAAGCGGAGGACGAGGCGGTTCCAATTGTGAGCACCTCTGCGTCAAGATCTTCATCTACAGAAGTTATGAATTTTTTTCTGTTAAAATTGAAAGTCTTTAGCAATTACTAGGACACCCTTCACCCAGGCACTTTTTTCTACGGATCCTAGGCATAGTATATATTTTCTAAAAGCGTAGGATGAGACGGTTCCAATGGTGACTACCTCGGCGTACAAGATGTTCATCTACAGAAGTTATGAGTTTTTTTATTTTAAAAAATCAAAAATTCCCGAAAAACACTAGGACACCCTTCACCCGAGCACTTTTTTCAACGGACCTTAAACATAGTATATATTTTCTGAAAGCGGAGGGCGAGGCGGTTTCAACGGCGATCACAACGGCGTACAATATGTTCAAGTGCAGAAGTTATAAATTTTTTTATGTTAAAAACTCAAAAATCCCCAAAAATCATTAGGCAAACCGTTCACTGCACTTTTTTGAATGGATATCAGACGTTCTATATATTTTCTGAAAGCGGAGGACAAGACGGTTCCAACGGTGACCATCAAGGTGTACAAGATGTTCAAGTACAGAAGTTATGAATTTTTTATGTTAAAAACTCGAAAATCTCCAGAAATTATTAATAACACACGTCACCAAGCCCTTTTTTCAATAGATTCCTCCTTCCCTATCATAAACAATTGACGTACAGATTCTTTGCCTAACCTTACCTCACTGTTGATTATTCTTCTCGGCTTTTGGTGAAGGGGGTCACCTTGGTCCCGGCTCAGGGGTGAAGGGAGGGTGAGAAAATTCTCACACTATCGCACCTGTGTTTCGAATCTCGAAAAGACGATTACAAGTATAAATCTTTTCCAGCAAAAGATTTTAATCAAGAAACTTGGAAAAAAGGTTATCAATACCAGCTCAAACTCAAGCGCAGGCCTCTGGCCTTACGGTAATATATATCCTCGGGATGGCGTACATGTGGACACACTTGAGGACGTTTTCGAGGATATGGTGGTTGATTACTTGAGCTTTGATCAAAAGGCGGAAGATCTCAAATTTGGTGAGATGCGCTCTCCTCCTAATGGTCAAAAGTGCGTTCTTGTGAGCTTTCTGTAAGCAATATGTGGAATTACAGACAAATTTA